ATAATTATATTATCTATTATTTAGCGAAGCAAGCTAATATGGCTAATGTATATACATTTCAAAATATTAAAGGTTATCGACTTGGTAGTATACGCGAAGAAGAGCTAGAAAAAAAAATACATAACGCTATCAAGTCCAAAGCCAAAATTAATAAGCTTAGTGAGAAATTGCAGAATAAATATATAAAGCAAATGAAGGCGTTTGATCGAGAAAGAAAGGGGTGGAATCAGAATTCATTACGAAATAATACTGAGATTCAAAAGTTATGCACCCATGCTTTGCAGGTTATTAATGAGCATAAGCAAATACAAAATGAAAATACTAATCTTATTTCTCATAACGCACAAAAAGATATTTTTATTGCTGAATCCAAGGCTGAGAATGATACAAAATCCAAGAAAATTAAATCACTCGAGTTTATAATCAAGATATTGGAAAGTAAGTTGTCTTTAGCCCAGAAAGATGTGATTTCGATTCAAAGTGACTTATCGAAAAAAGAATCTGAGATTTTATCTCTCAAGTCTAAAATAGTTGAAGTAGAATATGAGTTAGCTTTAAAAGTTAGTGAACTTGAGTGTCTGAAGTCGGAGGCTATATCAAACCCCATACTTGGTGGAAACAATGAAAAAAATATGACCAAGTCTGATGATATATCTGCAGTTATTGAATCTAGCAAAAATCTCAGACAATATTTTGTATGCAGAAAAAGTATGGATCAAGCTAAAAAAATTGATAATGTTATCTCAGCACAAACTAGCACTTTTGGTACTTACTTCGTTAATGATGAGATTACCAAACTACCAAAAATTGATACAGAGGTTAATTCCAAAGTAAAGGATAGAACTAGCATTAGTGAAATTAACAAGGATAATATATTAGATATATCGATAAAACCCAATACATCACAGATTATATCTGAAAATGTAACTCCACACCTTATACAACTGGATAATAATATATCTGCTTTAATTGAATTGAATTCTCAGATGAGGTCTGGTCCTGAGGCTTTGCCTCTTTCTGCTGTAGCAAGCACTTTAATGTCACCGCTATCGGCATATATTTTTCTTGCTCTGTTAATTATTGCGGTTGTGTAGTTCGTAGTGTTGAGACATGGATTGAGTATAAGTAAAAAAAATAATCAGTTACGGGATACATGGACTAGGTATTAGAAACTATCTATTTAAACTTCAATATTATTTATGTACAAAAAATATATATAATGGTAATATAAAGATATATTTATAGTGAGCTGACTGCCTTGTTCCATGTATTTAGAAAACTCTCAAGTGTTAGTTGATCTATTTTCGATATATAAGATAAGGTAGGTTGTTCAGTAATCATCTCATTTTTTCTCATAGTTCCGGGTTGGCCAATTTTATCTGGGATTGTTATATGCTCTTTATATCGCATATGATATACTAACTTATGAAAGAAAACATCATATTTTTCGATAATTAGGATAAGTACATTTAGATGTTTCATAAAATCAGAACATATGGACTTTTTTATCTCTTCACCTATCAAAAGATTATCATTTTCAGTATATGCTTTGACATACTCTATAAATTTTTCCCATAATCTCGAAACAGGGTCACTTACCTTAAAGTCTTCAAAGTTTAGCCATTCTCCATGAAATATCTCGTAGGTATTACCTATATTCCGATGTAATATAGCTTGTGCGGTCTTGACTGCCTTTTTATAGGCACGTTTATAGGCATACCCACGATTAGCTATTATTTTAGAATCTATTCCATTTTTCTCCTTAATAAACGACTCAAGCCACTTCTTGGCCTTATTTTGGGCATAGATATCAATTTGTTTATACTTCTCATCGAAATCTGTAAGTTGCATAATTTTGTCAGTAGATGGGGGCTCATGTCTTTTATCACACATTATAAATCGGGCGCAAAGTCCAGTAATAGTATTTTCAAAGTAGTGGGATAAGTTTATGCTTCTACCAAGTTCTTTAGCCACTTCTACGAATTCCATCTGATCCGATTTTCCAAGCTTAAATTTTTTACCAGCTAGATCGAAGATTCTATCAGGTTGAACAATCACATAACTAAAACGTTCACCTAGATTTGGAATCTTATTTTCGTATTCTTTTCTCATCCGTTTTATAAAATTTTGAACACGTATTATTTTTTTTAGGTTTCCATGTGGCAGATTCTATAAATTGATCGAAATTCCATTGTCTAGAATTAGTTATAGCCTCTTTGAGACGTCTTCAACAATTTCATGAAGAGTTTGATTATTGTTAATATCCATCGCCCTCCACATAATCCGATCTCCTATGGTTCTAAAAAGTTAGGATTTACCTTGCTTCACCATATCAATACCTTTAATGAAAAGTTCTTTTGGTTTGAAGTTTGGAACTTTTTTATGTGGTATTCCAAAATATTTCTTT